CGGGAAAGTTGGAGCTTGAGAAAAAAAAAAAAAATGGAAGAAGGGGGCTGGGGTAGTTTATTCAGAAATGATTTATTTTGATTTCAGACGAACAGACTTAGTTTCATTATGTTGTTTGAAATGTGACTTTAGATATAATATAGATCTTTTTTTATCAATACAAGTCGAAATTCGGAATGACGACTTCCCTAAAGCCAGCAAACGGATTCAAATACGCAGCGATGTTTTCAAAATAAGTTTGCACATAAATAAAAATACTAGATTTCGCAATTCAAATGAATTTATTTCTGGCTAGCTACGCCACTTCCGTACTAATCCGGATTTGCTGGTTTTTAAATTGACATCAATAATATTCAGCGTGCATATTAAAAGCGTGCATAATGTTTGTCCCTTTCTGTCTCCATCTTTAAATATTCCAGTCAAAATTAGACGAGAACGTAAATGGAAATATTTTGCGTGAAAGATTTGTTGTTTTCCAAAACTAGGGAAGAACTGGAGTGATTTTTCGTCAAGCTCAAAACTATTGTTTTGGTGATCATCATCAAACCATATATGGTGTTTGTTTTTTCAGATTTTGACGTCAAACGGAAGCCAAACAAAACAATGAAGGGATGGTCGGATTAGCGTCCATCAATGACGTAGAAGCCTCAATTTAGTAAAGTAAGGGGCTTCCCTTGCTCAAATATGATTGGTTACGAGTGAAGATTATTGTCTTCTTTCTTAGTTGATTGGTTTCTATTGGTTGCTGATGACGTCGTTGTCTATCTTAGTGACCAATCAGAGACAAGATTTTCAAGAGTGGCACAAAGGGAAGAAAATATACTTAGAGTTGTCTTCGCATCTTTTGCTTATTGCGACCATCTTCTGATCCGTAGCAAATAGTATAGTTTCCTTTTTTCTACATTTTATAAAAAAATAAGCGAACACAGTCCAATGGATCTCGAAGTTCAGTTTGCAGTTAACTTCTTAATCGGCTACCTAGTGAACAAGCTCCCAAGACGCAGAGTGCAGCTTTTTCATGAAGAGCTTGTTAAAAGACTGACGAAGAAATTCGAAGGCCATTGGTACCCCGAAAAACCGTGTAAAGGAAGTGGATATCGTTGCCTCCTTATTACTGATAGCTTAGATCCTGTGCTTAGTTCTGCTGCAAAGGAAAGTGGGCTTAACGTGAAAGATGTAAAGGCCAATTTACCAGAAAAACTTTGTTTATGGATTGACCCGCAAGAAGTCTCTTTCAGAATCGGTGAGTTCAGTGATGATTTAAAGGACGTATAAAGTAGTGCTGTGCAGTAAAGCAATTAGTTTCTCAGTAGTTAGTCGTCAATATTTTCTTTGTTTTTTTTCGTTTTGCTATTCGAGAATGCCCTACAAGCGATCGATCGAACAATACGGCCGAGTGAATGTAAGTTTAATCATCACGTACGCTTTCGCTGCCTGCGTAAGCAGACATCACACGCGTCCCAACTCGATTTGCTTGGTTGGCATATTTTTCGAAAGTCATTTATTTTCTTCTTACTAAATCTGAGACCCTGGTAGGAAGTAAATTTCAGTTTTAGTGGGTAATCCATGTTTTCTTTTGTTTAGCCTAACTTCCACTCTCTTCCTTCCGAAGACCATCTGTATCGGGAAATGTCTCAAAGGTTGTGTATGAATATCTAATGTCTCCTTTATTTGTCCTCTCGTCAGGTGAACAAGGGGCTGTAAAGACGATATACAAGGCAGAAAAGAAACCTGAAGAAATTTGCGAAGAAACCGCTCGTTGGGTCAACCTTCTAAATGGCCACAACAGTGGAGTATCGAACAATATCAGTCCTGTTCCATTTCGATCTCAGAGTCCTCCTAGATTAATGGCCGACCGTTCTTCTCCAGTGTTCTCGTCCTCATCAAGTTCTTCATCTTCATGTTCTTCTTACAACTCTCCATTTACGTACAGTAGCTGGAGCGCAGCTGACGAATCTTCCCTCTACAAATACCGTGCGAAGAGAGCTTCTCCTACGCCATTATCAGCGAACGCGAAAGAGTTCATCTACCGTTCATCGAGGGAAAGCTTCCCTCTTGGCGCACCGCAAGGCAAGAGTGGGCTGGAAACCACTAGAGGTGCCTTACTTTCTTCTTCATTTCTTGACTGGCTTAATTACAGTGAATTTGGAAATTTCAATACGGCAGCCCAGTTACCGATATTGGCTTGAAAAATGTTAAATGTTGAGTTAACTACGCCGGACATTTAAACAATGTTCCACGTCCAAATTTGTATGAATAAAAATAGGAAAAAGATGTTGTGAAAGTTATCACAGAAAAATTGTAAATTTTTATCAAAGTAAGTTACAGTATTTCTCCAACGGATGTACATTTGTACAAAAAAGCGTTTTGTTCATAAATGAAAAGTGTATAGTGTTTCTTATCAGAGATGTAAGAGGTATTTTGTTCTTGTTTCAAAGAAAGTAAAAAAAAATATTGCCAAAATGGCCTTGAATTTATTATGGATTGTATTTAAGAATTTTTGAAGAGAGATAAAATAAAGTTTGCATACAAGTGAAACATGTTGATGTTGTTTTTATTTCGCAGTCTAAATAAAACTTTGATGACTATGTTACTTCCTCTCACAGCATTAGCACCACTGCCATTTTAAAATTACCATTATTAGGAAGTAGCTGTTTCTTTGAGGTGTTCCTTTCACAAGGAGTGACGAGACATGTATTATACTGATGTATTTTGAACATTCAACTGGGAAAAAGATGACCTTTGCTAACAATATGCTTTGTCAAACATGGTTTGCAATGTTTCAACACACACACACACACACACAAAAAAAATCATGGTGTCATTTGAACATCCAAAAGGGAACTAAATGAGATATATAACAGATGGTATGTGCTGTGTATGACACTTAAATGTGTACCACTTGACGAAATTTAAATGGGTGGGTGGGATTTTAAAGGGTCCTTTATTCCAATTTTGTCCAAGATTGCAGCAGCCATACAGTGGAGGTTTTTATTATCTTTTCATCGGATAAAGTAGAGTGGGTTTAACTTTGCACTTATTCTTGCACGTGAGGCTTAAACAAATGTGAAACGTTGCCTTTGTTTTCCAGTAGTCTGGCGAAACATCCCTGCAGGGGCCATTATATCCTGTTGTAGACAACTAGATTACATAATTTTTTTTACACCCCATTATAATGAATGACAGTTGTGTCATGTTTAGTTTTTCATAAGAACTACTTGAATTTCAGATGCTGTTTGTATGTCCTTATTTTTCCAAAAATAAGTTACAGTTTTCTTTGTCCTTCATTCCAACTGTTTAGAGGCTGATTAAAGAATGCAATAATAATGTTCATGATGAGTGTCACATGTTTGTCTTAGAAGTTTATGAATATTGAAAGTTACTAAATAAAAATCCCATTTTGACACCTTGCCCCAGTTGTTGTACAAAAGATGGATAATACTATCTCCATCTGGTGGATAGTGCAATAGGTTTTCCTAATACTTATCTGCAGCATAGTGATTTATCTGGTACATAGCACTATCCAACATCTTAACCACCCTGGGCCAGCCTATAACATGGGGTACTGGTAACAACTGACAAGAGCTGTATTAGACTTGTATAATAAAATTACTATTAGTTGAAAACTAAACTGGTACGTATAGATGGTCAGTAGGAAGCTCAGTCAATTTCCATTTCCTACAGTGGCAGATCCAGGGGAGGGGCCCTGGAGGTCCGGCCCCCTCTCTCTTATTTTTAGACCAAACTGAGGCCCAAAGGGCCAAAAACATTGTCTGGAATTTTAACATAAAACCTGATGGCAGTATCAGTGCTAGAAGGCCAGATATTTGCCTAGTAGCCAGAAGGTCGGTCAGCTGACTGTTGCAAACACAGGATGGGTGTCTATTAGATACTGAAGTTGACAAGTACCAGGATCTAGATATGGTTAATGAGCCTATTCCTGGCATTGAGATAGTAGAGCATGAGCGTGAATGAAGGCAGCCAAAAAATAAAAATAAATAAAAAGAGAGAGAATAAACACAATCCCCCTCTTGCTTTTTTTTTTTGTCTTTGCTCCACTACTTGAAGGCCTAGAACAGGCTAGGTATGGGTTTAATTCTGTATGGGAAAAAAATGAATCAAGGTTATAAAATAAGGTCTAGCCTATTCCAAGCTTTCAAATTATGGGGATGTTGCAAAGAGATGTGTGTGAGCAGGAAAAAATGCGAGGCTGGAGCAGGCTTCTGAAATACTGGTGTCTTGTCTTTAACCCTGTCTGTGCCATAGATGCAGTAAGCTTTTGTTTCACAAATCCTCTTTGCATAAATTCATGTTTCGTCACAAAGGAGTCCTTCTTTCACAGTCCATGCTTTAATTATAAATCCATCCTTAGAAATCCATGTTTTATTCCTCCTTTTACAATTACACCAATTCACTTCACCCTGCTCTCGCCAGCGTCCCCCGGGACGAGGTTGCCGCCTGGGGCCCGTTTCTCGAAAGTCCCGGTGGTAACTTTTCGGGTGCGAAAAGCTGTTTTATGGTTTGCCGTGGTTACAGGCAATAATTTTGCAAATGATAATATGGCGATGAAACTATTAGTTAACAAAGCAGAGTTGACCGGTTTGTGAGTGAGGAACTGTTCTACCGTTCAACTGGTTTCGATTTCAAGAGTTGCCTTCAGACCCGAAAAGTTATTTCGAGAAACGGGCGCCTGGTTCTTTTTCTGTTTAGCCGTAGAAATGGCAGGACATAACAGCTCCGATTCTTATAGCAAAAGCAATGTTGAAAAAAAAAGACAAACTGTCGAAGTGGCTGAAAAACTCTTGAAGGTATTTTCATCTAATATCCATGTTTTTTTTGCTTGTAGACACGATCGACACGAGTCAACAGGAATACTGCCCTAAACTGCCCAGCGGCCGTGTATCACATCGCATGCGTATTTGGCTTTCTTATTAGGCGGTAAATATGGACGGCAGCGAAGGAGGGGAAGTGGTCGCGATGAACATAATTTTTCCTTAACAAACACTGCTTGTTAACCAAACGGACCTCTCATTCTTTTCAAAAAATTTAACTCTTTAAACTACAGTAATATTTAGTTAGTGTAGACGACATTTCAAATTGATCCCGTCGAAATGAAGAACGTGCGAATATTGCTTGTTGGTGATCGTAAGTAACTGAAGTAAAAGGAAGATTGTTGCGGTTTTGTTTTTACCGTGACTCGTGATCATTGTCAACCTTGAGGCAGCGAAGCATGTTAATTTGTTTCAATGCTTTTATGTGTAGCCCAAGTTGGAAAAACATCGCTTATTTTGTCGCTTGTCAGTGAGGAATTTCCTGAAGAGGTGAGATTTATGAACAGGCCAGGATCAGTGATGTTAAGGCTTGTTAGTAATTTTGTTTGTATAAGCTTAAGGGTCCTTTTAAGTTTGATCATTCAGTTCAATCTGTCGGTCAACTTAAACCTTTCATTTTTTTTAAGAGCACTCGGAAAGAATTATTCACCTAGGTGGCTATAATATATTTTGGTCATACATTAATTTTATATTATTGTAGTAGCTGTGCTGCAGGCCCCAGTTGTTTGAAAGGCGGATAACACCATTAGCTGGATAAATCTCTCTACTGTAGATAATGCTTTTGGTTTTCCTAATATTCATCCACAGGATAGTGATTTATCCAGTGGAAAATAGTGCCATCTAACGTTTGAACAACTGGGGCCAGATTACTACACTGGCTACAATCCAGCCACCTTGCAAACATGCAGCAATATGATCATTGAAAAATGTTGCCTAACACAGTGGACAGGGTGGTAGACTGAGGCATTTTGAGTCAGATCTCCCATCACTGTGCTTAGTAGCCTACTGTTTGAGTCACTGTGAGGCTGGGGTTGTCCTTTTTTTATACAAGTTCTCTTGCCTTTGTTTCCTGCTCCCTCACTGACTGCCTGGACTTCCGCCAATTTAGGATGTTTAGCTCAGTTGGATAGGCACTTGTTTTGTGGGAGGATACAGATTCAAACTCCAGTGGGACCATGCCTTTTAAAATAATTGAGGGAAGTGTGCTGTGTTTGTTCTGATATCAACAAATGAGTTAGACAGCGAGAAGTATCTTATTTTTCTTTTGAGACAGTAGATAGGGGGCATGCTCAAGGGGAGAGCAGGGAATCTGCGAGGGACAAGGGCACAAGCCCAAGCAGAGAAAGATAAGAAAAGAGTCCTTTTTCCCTCTTTCTGCCCCCATTTTTCCTTTGATTTGAATAAAATAATGAGTCCATTATTATTAATATTGACCAAGCTTGTCTGGTCAAGATGGCTGGATATTGGCCCCATCCTTTCTTGCCTGTTTTATGGACCTATCGGTAGACTTCATCTCAGTCAATAACAATGCAGCAAAGTACTTGGCCATATGTTGATTCATTTTGACTTTATGCCTGGTTAAAAATGCATCAATCTAAGTTGCTAAGTGAGTTAGTTAACCCAATAAAGTTAATTTATTACTTATTCTTAGGTTCCTTATAAAGCAGAAGAAATAACAATTCCAGCAGATGTGACTCCAGAGAAGGTCCCCACACATATTGTGGATTATTCTGGTCAGTATGTTGCTGAGAAACATTACAAATATTATGAAATCTGATTAAAAAAATTGTTTTTAGTCCAGAATATGTTATCCAGTGTCCCTTTCTAACAAAAGAGTTGATTTTAATTCTTGAATATAAAACATTCCAGCAGAATCATGATTTTCCAAAACCCCCATTGTTTTGGTTAACCTTCTGTCTCATCAAACCAAAACTGCAAGTGAATTTTTCCATCCTCTATGTGCTGAGATGGAGTTTAATAGTATCAACAAAGGTCCCTGAATTCCACTTATGGTCAGGTTTGTTAACTCAAGTATAGTTGCCAGGAATTAGAAATGAAAGTTGCAGTGTTTTTGCACTTCCTTAAGGCTGCGAATTCCACCTTCCCTTCCTTGCTCCACTTCCACTGTTTTATCAGAGTCAGCTGTCTGCTTTTTACCTGCCTGTGCCATGCCAGTGCTCATGCCTGGCTGAGAACGTTCTAGTATTTTCCAGATGTGGCCAAAAGTGTAAGCTTATGCCTGGATGTCTTCGAGATCCATTATAAGGGTAGAAGCTACTAGTTAAGCCTCTCTACCTGAAGCGGGGCCAACCGTCTCGTGTTTGTATGTACTGTACAGAACCTGGTTTGTATTCACTTGTCCNTACTTATTCTTAGGTTCCTTATAAAGCAGAAGAAATAACAATTCCAGCAGATGTGACTCCAGAGAAGGTCCCCACACATATTGTGGATTATTCTGGTCAGTATGTTGCTGAGAAACATTACAAATATTATGAAATCTGATTAAAAAAATTGTTTTTAGTCCAGAATATGTTATCCAGTGTCCCTTTCTAACAAAAGAGTTGATTTTAATTCTTGAATATAAAACATTCCAGCAGAATCATGATTTTCCAAAACCCCCATTGTTTTGGTTAACCTTCTGTCTCATCAAACCAAAACTGCAAGTGAATTTTTCCATCCTCTATGTGCTGAGATGGAGTTTAATAGTATCAACAAAGGTCCCTGAATTCCACTTATGGTCAGGTTTGTTAACTCAAGTATAGTTGCCAGGAATTAGAAATGAAAGTTGCAGTGTTTTTGCACTTCCTTAAGGCTGCGAATTCCACCTTCCCTTCCTTGCTCCACTTCCACTGTTTTATCAGAGTCAGCTGTCTGCTTTTTACCTGCCTGTGCCATGCCAGTGCTCATGCCTGGCTGAGAACGTTCTAGTATTTTCCAGATGTGGCCAAAAGTGTAAGCTTATGCCTGGATGTCTTCGAGATCCATTATAAGGGTAGAAGCTACTAGTTAAGCCTCTCTACCTGAAGCGGGGCCAACCGTCTCGTGTTTGTATGTACTGTACAGAACCTGGTTTGTATTCACTTGTCCAAGTGAAATCCACTTGCACCTGTACATTCCCTAATCCAAGCAGAGGAAGGTCAGTGCTGACCTCAAACTCAGTTAATAAGAGGTGTACATTAGCAAATTGCATGACACAGTTACCTTCGTTTCAACTGAGATAAATAGCATTGATAGGGTTCAAGTTTGGCAATTTCATTTTCTCACAGTGCTAAACATGATTTCTTTAACCAGCGTTGGAGCAGTCTGAAGATATGCTTGTGGATGAGATCATCAAAGTAAGCTTTTATGTATTGCAAAGTCATTGTTTACAGTCCTGAATCAAGTTTGAGAGAAGGCGAGATGAAGCAAGTCCATGATCAGCCTGTCTTGCTTGCTTGAGATTTCTTGTGTTTGTCCAGCAAGAAAAATGTCTCTTGGCCATTTGATTATAGTAAATCCTTAAATTGACCAATCAATTTAAAGAACATGGCTGGATATTGGCCCCGGTCCTCTTCGTTTTTGTCTTTAAACAGAGTGAAACTTCCCCAAAATAAGTTTGATCCTTGGGCAATGTTCACCCATCAATGTTAAACTGTTGTTTTTAATAGTGGAGCTCCATGCATGCACAAGGCACGCACTAGCGGAGCCCCACAACTAAGAAAATTGGGTTATCTATACATCTGAGAAAATTTTGGTAGTTACGTGACCATGCGTCTGTTGGACCATCCATCCGTACCACAGGGAAACCAATAAGAAATCTCACACTTCTTAGCTAATGTGGGAGCCTGCAACCTGATATTGCACATCCATGTTGTGGTCAATTGAAAACAGTCAAAACAGGGTATCTGCCGACCAGTATCACATGACTTTGTCGTGGGCTCACTCAGTTGTCGACCCATGGAGGTAACATATTTTTGAAGTTATCTGCTGACAAGTTGCTAGTTTTTCAACTGATCGCAGGCTCAACTCCAAGTGGATTTCTTTACAATGGTTACAAGTTTATTGTATTTTATTCAATAATAGATAAATGTCTATCATGGGAGCTTCACCTTTAGCCTTGGCTACATCTATGTAATTGTTTAATAGGGAGCCATCACCACGCTTTTACTTCTTTTTTCTTCTTACCATTGTGAACTGCATTTCTTCTAAGTAAAATCAGTTCTTAGGTTTAACCAAAATGTCCCTTGTCTCCTTTAAAAACTTAGGGCTAGAAACAAAGGAAGCCAAATAGTGGTTAAACCCGAGAATTGATTTTACCTTCGTAAAACATTTATTTCATTTCTACGTATACTAACTACAGTCAACTCTCTCATGACGACAACTTCTCGTAAGTGACTACCTCCCGTAAGCGACCACTTTGTTGTGCACCAAGGGTGGTCGCTTACGAGAGTGTTCACTGTACATGTGAGGATTGAATAAGCTGCCTTTAGTTTTGCAAAAACAAGATATAACATTACTGCATTGTATGATAACTAATGAGCTAAAACATTACTGTCCTCAGGCCAATGTAGTGTGTGTTGTGTATGATGTAACATCAGAAGATTCTCTAGAAAGAGTAAGTATTGTTTTTTTCATTCAGTATAAAGAGGAAAGAGCACCTACCATATTATTTTATTCAATGAAACGCCCAGCCTTGAATTAGCACCCACCTCCAATAAGCAGCCATCCTGTAGGGAGGAAAATTTCTTAGGTGCCCGGTCTCGACTAGGAGCCTACCCCCACCTACCACCCTTCCCTTAAAAAAAAATGGAAGTGGACAAGAAGAGTCCTTATTTTTTTCTTTACTACTTACTATTAGACAGAAATTGACTTGGTACTACTAAGAGTCTTCCCTGAAGACTGAGTTCTTAGTTTTAATTTAAATAAACTTTCAATGAACAGTTAAAATTCTGCTCTAGCACATCTTCACGTTTTGTCATTATAAACTGTTTTGTTGGAAAATTAACTTACTTCTTGCTGGAAATGATGAAAATTAAATAAGCATCCACCTCAAATAAGTGCCCACTCTCAAGGCCCAAAAATTTAATAAGTACCTAGGGCACCTAATCGAATAAATACGCTAATCATGTTCAAACAGTCATGAAAATTAATTTGAATCTGTCACTTGAGACCATATCTTTGGCATCATGTGACACTGTAGTTGAAGTTGTTTGACCTTGAAAAGTTACGGAATATCTCTTTACAGTTGGTTTGGTTCAATTTTATTCTGGGTTGACTTAAATTTTTCTTCATTTTTTGGTGTGATACTTAAAGGCAAAAACGAACAACATTATGGACAATTGAAATTTATTACCCTGAAATCTCAGCTGTAAAGGTTCATTGATCATATAACATTACCCCTTTGCCTGAATTATGTTAGTCCTTAATTATAATCAGGCTAGCTTAATTGCCCAGGATTAGACTTAGACCCATTGAATTACGGAATAACACAAAGTTGCAGCACAAGTAAATCTTCAAGAATTATAAAACAACAGCAGTGGAGTCAATCCTTCAGAGCATTACAAGTAGCTATTTGCACTTGAGGATGTGCAGAATTTGACCTCAAGTGACTCTTGATTTTATTTTTTAGCTGTTGACTTTATTTTCTCTTTGATTCACAAACATAATTTATACTCAGGGAAACTGGAACAAGTATCTAAGGGCGCTTACCAAAACTCAGAAATTGCTTGCTGGACTGGTCTATTTGAAAATAAAATATTAGTCATTTCAGTCTCGAAATTTTCCCTGCAACTCACCACTGCCGAGCATACCATTTATAAATAGACTGATCTGGCTTGATAGTCAGATTAATAAAGGAATTGTTTTTACAACTTGATGGGCTGGCCAGTTCTAGCAAATGGAAAGTGCCGTCATTCTTTTATTTTTCAGCCCAACTTTTCTGTGCAGAAATTTTCTCAGCTTTTATCTCTGGAAGTGATTCAAATGTGATCTGGGCCCAGTTTTTCAAAGGATGGAAAGTGCTATCCACCGGATAAGAGCCACTATCCAGCAGATAAATAAATTGCTCTATCCACCAGATTGAGATTTATCCAGTGGATAGCATTATACACCTTTCAAAGAGCTGATCTCTGAACTATAATAACTTACTATCTAGACTAAACTGGTCCATGGTTGTGTCTTAAACAGATAACATCATATTGGTTACCGCTCATAAGACAAGCTTGTGAAGAAGACAGCACAGCCAAACCTGTCATTATTGTTGGCAACAAAGTATGTGTGATTTTCTTTAGTTTGCTTTTGGTACAAACAGAGGTTAAGTACTGTTTCTTTTTCATGAGAGATTATCATCTTTGCTGAAGTCATTGTGTTGTTGATTTTGTACTTTTCTAGTGAAGCGGGAGTAGCATGTCGTCTCGTACCACTGACTTAATGACATTGATCTCTGTTTGAGTATGGAATGATTGATAGTTTTTATGAGAAGAAGATGTGTTGTTTTTTGAGAGTGTATGTTTTCCTAAACTCAGGTAAAATTCTCACAGCCTGGACAATAGTAGGTGTCAATAAAGTACAAATGAGTGTAGCTCTGCAAGGCATGTGAGTGTAGATCGTCTACATTTGATGACGTGATTGGTTAGACCGATGCTATTTAAATCAAAGCTTAAATGTTTTAACTGTAATTTTTTTAATTTGCATTTTAGTCAGACCTCTTTGATGGAAGCACAATGGATGTAAGTTATTACACTCTGTCTTTGGTGTTGTTAATTTCATCATTCACGTGACCGCCATTACAACCAGTTCTGGCTGCATAACTGGGCCTTATGTCCAATGAGGACATCATTTCACTTACATTGTACATTCAAACTGTTTTGTTTGTTTGTGTGAGAGGCACTTTTTTACAGACATCAATGTCCATATTTGTAGATTGAATAAGGAAATATGGAAAGATTCTTGGAGATATTAGCATTTTATTGCCACAGTGATTTTGTTACCTCTGCGTCCTGCATCCTTGATGCATAAAAATCCCCAAAGATGCAAAGAACGAAAGATTGATTTGAAGATTTTTTGGTAGAATATCATGTTCGTGTGATTTCTGTGGCTGTTATGTAAAGATTTGGTCTTTTTTTGTGCTTTAATAAATATATAGAAGGACTATAGTTTAATTTCAGTAAACTGTAATGAAGAGTTTTGGCATCTGTCTCCAGATTAACTGTCTGGTTATATACATAAAGGCCCCAGCATTTTCAATTTAGGCCTCCTTGTTTTTTTTGAACTGGGATTCATTGGTTATGGGACTCAAGATTTTTCTCAAGATGAGTCCCAAGACTCGCCTTAGCTATTTGTAACAAAATGCTGTTGCTATCTAATCTTCAATTTGAGTATAAAAAAAGATTATTGATTTATTGATTGATTGATTGATACAGATTCACCAATACTACTTGATGTTGTGGCAACATCAGTATGTTATTTTGGTGCCTTCACCAGTTTTATTTCAAGTGGAGTAAAGCTTATTGGCAGGTTTTTTTTTCATGGCTGTAGGATTTCTTAAGATAAAAAGACATTTATAATAAATGTGTTAAGTGTACTGCAGTGATTTGTGCTTACAGAGTTGTTTGGAATACCAGTGGTGTTTAGAATCGCTGTTAAAGTAGTTTCTGGGTAAAGACATCTTGTGACTTCTGATAAAATGGTTGACTCTCCATAGAAAATTGCGTGTGTCCCTTGTAGTAGAAAGGGGAACTGTAGAAGACTAGAGTCACTTAGTTTTTTCGTTGACTTATATGTATGTGTGTTCCATCCTGGTAGACTGTTTTGCCCATAATGAATGACTACACTGAAGTGGAAACTTGTGTTGAGGTGAACATTTATTCTTGTTTTTGCCTTTTTTTACATTTAACTGTCTTAATTATTATTTTGTCAATTAAATTTTAAATGTTCTGCAAGATTTCTATTACTGGATTTGCCTCCGCAGTGCTCTGCAAAGGAACTTAAAAATATATCTGAGATGTTTTAGATACGTGTTTTTCGTCATGACGTAGGTTGTCGAGGAGAAAAGAGACGACTTTGTTTTCTCCAAACACTTTATTCTTAATTTAGTGTGTACTAACACTTACTAATCTTATTCTTAATATTTTTTTTAACACAATGGGAACTTTTATTGTCCCCTGGCAGAGATTTGAGCCCAGTATTGATGTATTTTAGAGCCTAATACTTAAGCCAACTTTACAGACGCCTTTATAAACTTGTCACTTAGCTTTTCCCCATTCAAGTCGACTTTTGTCATGTTCAATAATAGTGACAGGATGCGTACATGTATGTACTGGGGTGCTTGTACCATTTACACACAAATATTATTATTGCAACCTTGATCAGGGCCCAAAAGAACACTGTCCCTTAACATTTCCTTTGGTAGAACTACAGCTGTATTAGCTTTATTGAGTAGCTTGCATTATATTGATTTCTTCTTATTATTTTTATATTTTAGTTAAAGCCATTATGCCAGGCTGCACTGTCAAGAATATTTAAGGTATCATTGCTAATGGGAATTCATATGAAATAGAAGCTGCAGTGAGATTTTTGTCAATTTTGATCAATACAATAGATATTAATCAAATCAGATTTACCCATTTTTTTTATTTATTGATTCAACTAAGCCCCTCCCCCTCCCCAAAAGAAAAAAACTATTACCCCTCCCCCTGACAATGTTGTTGTTCGTTGATGTCAGTGAAATGTAATAATATTGGATTGTGTATTTGAGAATTTCAAAACATTTGATGCAAAGGATATTATCAAACAAGGTCTTAAGCTCAAATAAGGCTTCACTTTAGAAAGCGGCATGTACACCGTACTCTACAACATTGAAACCAGGGGGAAGGGATACTACGGCAAGATATTGATTAGCTTAGTACGAAGAAAGGGATGTGTACATACTGCAGCTTGATAACAATGACCTGGACATCTGGGAATGACCATCTATTGTATGGCAACAAAAGAAACTGCCAGGAAGGTTGATGTTTTTTACATACGTGATTTGAGCTCAGCAAAGTGGAAATCATTGTGTCAAATCTATATTTGATTGACTGTCACCAATCATTTTACCAAGAGTAAGTGGTCTGATGCTTTTCCCAGATATCAGATTCTGATAATGATGGTTTATTGAACGACAAAGAACTGAATGACTTCCAGGTGAGATGGTACAGACTGCTACTACTTGTCATAAATATTGTTATTATATTGTTTTTATTTCTTGACTAGTGTTAATTCCCTTTGTCTCCACCACTTTGGACTTGCCTGTATTTATCACAAGTTGCCTTTGGCGTTATACCTAACTGTAACAAGGAGGTTTGGCGGTAACTAAATTGAGCAGCTGCTCTCTGAAACTCTGGGTTAGTTAACTAAAGGCCCCTACCAAAGTCAGAACTAGCCAGTTGGACAGGCCTCTTTGAAAATTAAAAGCGGTTTTTCTTCTTTAATTTCTTTCTTTTCTTTTCTTTCTCACTAAACACCCATCCCTGCTGGCATACTATGAAGGAATAGACTGATCTTGCNTACGGCAAGATATTGATTAGCTTAGTGCAAAGAAAGGGATGTGTACATACTGCAGCTTGATAACAATGACCTGGACATCTGGGAATGACCATCTATTGTATGGCAACAAAAGAAACTGCCAGGAAGGTTGATGTTTTTTACATACGTGATTTGAGCTCAGCAAAGTGGAAATCATTGGGAAAATTTTTAACACTATGTTTTCTTACCCCCAAAAAAACCAAAGACCAAAATTTTGTTAGTTATGTGTGCAATGGAAAATTAGCAAAATAAATTTATGTAGGTGCCATTTTTGCACTGAGGCCTTCATTTATCTGTGTCAAATCTATATTTGATTGACTGTCACCAATCATTTTACCAAGAGTAAGTGGTCTGATGCTTTTCCCAGATATCAGATTCCGATAATGATGGTTTATTGAACGACAAAGAACTGAATGACTTCCAGGTGAGATGGTACAAACTACCACTACTTGCCATAAAAATTAATATTGTTATTATATTGTTTTTATTTCTTGACTAGTGTTAATTCCCTTTGTCTCCACCACTTTGGACTTGCCTGTATTTATCACAAGTTACCCTTGGCATTATACCTAACTGTAAGAAGGAGGTTTGGCGGTAACTAAATTGAGCAGCTGCTCTCTGAAACTCTGGGTTAGTTAACTAAAGCCCCTACCAAAGTCAGAACTAGCCAGTTGGACAGGCCTCTTTGATAATTAAAAGCGGTTTTTCTTCTTTAATTTCTTTCTTTTCTTTTCTTTCTCACTAAACACCCATCCCTGATGGCATACTATGAAGGAATAGACTGATCTTGCCGGAAAGTTCTGATTAAAGTGGAATGCTCTTTATGACTAGACTGATCTTGCTGGCTAGTTCTGATATATTTACAGTGCCTTAAATTTAATTTTGCTATTTGGTGAAAGAAGTTTTTTATTTCCAGTTTACCAAAAGTGCCAACTCTCTCCACCTCTTTGCTATACATTAGTGAAATAAATGCGGGTTGTGATTTACTTTCAGAATCGATGCTTTAATACTCCTCTTGAAGGGCAAGGATTGCAGGATGTTAAGAATGTGGTCAGAAAGAATGTGGATGATGGCCTAAGCAATGGTGCTCTCACACTTAAAGGTTACTTGGTCTCAGTATACAGTCTGTGGAACCTTGATAATAATGAGGGGCCAAGGGACTGGAAAAACTGATTCATCCCCAGTCATCTCTCAGTCTCCTATTAATAATAATAATGAGAGAAGCGCAGTCAAGGGAAGTACTAGGGATGATGGGAAGGACGAAAGAGAGAAGACAACTGGCAGATCCTGTTTCCAAAATGGCTGAAAAAAGTAATGGCAGATTCATTGGCAATGAAAATGAAAATCTTACAGATAGACTGTTACATCAAGCCTACATAGGCCATAAGTTGCCTTGTCTGCATATATCTTGTAGGGGTGCTGCTGGTAGAATCAAGATCTGCCATTCATCTCTTCTTTCTCCCTTCTACCTTGCCTTGATCCCCCTTTGCACCAGAAGCGGTAAGGTCTCTCACAACCTTTCCAAGGCCGCTTACAAATTATACAAGATAACAGACTGGGGATGAGTTGGCTGGTCCAAAGAATATAAATTTTAATTAGCAGTTATTGAAAGAGGCTGAGTAGGATGTGAAGAATTACGCAAATCAAGGAGGATGTCATTCGGGTCAGCCTTGGTGGATAACATCCTCCAAGATCTGCATAATTTTTCACATCATACAAAAGCCAAATTCAATAACTGTTTTGTCATTCACTCAAAATAATTATTTTAAAGTTCTTAACAAGCTTACCTCCTTGTAGACTTTCCTCTAAACTTTGGCCTATTTTTTGGCACAGTTTCAGAATAAAAACACAGTTTAATAATTAACCTGTGTTTCTATTTCCAATGCAGCCTCATTTCCTATCAAATATAACATCGATCAACCTCGTTTGCTATAAAATAAAAAATAAATTGATTGTTTATTATTGCTCATGTCTTCCAAATTTGGTCAGTGCTAGTTGGTTATGAAGAATTAGCTGGGGAATTGGAGCTAATCAGAAACGGTGAAATATTTTGAAAGAATAATAATGTTCATTATTCAGGGGACTTTGCTAAATAGACGTTTCTTATATTGGGGTTCCACTGTACTGTGCTTTTAAATGTGCCCTTGGTTGAAGCAGTGTTTCTTGTGTTTGCTGCCAGTGTGGGTATTAGTCTGTTGTTTTTGGTTTTTGCATTTTAAGACCATGCTAACAACATGGTACTGGAAACGATCGTTACCGTGAAATCCTAAGGCTTGGTTGTGATACAGCTGTTTCAAAATTTGTTTGTTTGTTTGTATATTTTACTAAATTCATTTTTTTTGTCTCATGTTTTTTTATTTCTTATATCAGGTTTCCTTTTCCTCCACACTCTATTTATCCATAAAGGGCGCCATGAGACAACATGGACAGTACTGAGGAAGTTTGGATATGGAGATGAACTAAAGCTCAGGCCGGAATATCTGTGTCCAGCGTAGGTTGACTGCTTTTTACTTTATTATATTTTTAACAACAATAAATATTAAACTCATCACCAATAGACGAGCTGGGGTCCTTTTGCCTACATGGTTGGTGGAGCCAGGCAATGCTCTGGCACAAAGATGGAGGTATTCATGGCAGGCCTGCAAGCAGCCTGCAAAAGGCACGATCGCACTGAAGAGTTCAGTGGAATACTTACCAACCAATACTTGCCTAGCCCTGGAATAAAGAGGGAGGGTTGGTTGGGAAAAACAAAGCAAGAAAATGTCAAGCAAGCAACAAGGCTATAGTGGAGACACTTTGTGAAGAACTGCAAACAAGCAACTGCTTATAGAAGATCACAAGGTGTCCCTGCTAAAGGTATCAGGCTGCCCCAAAAACTGCTGAGCAGCAAGTTGTTTTAAGGTTTACATTGTACTTTGCCTAAATTACATTTAGCCACGAGAATGATATGTGTGGAGAGAAGAACTCGGAAAATCCTGTGCTCCATAGAGGAATTGAACCCATGACCTTCCAGATACTAGTTGCATGCCCTTATTACTGAGCTACTGAGAACTCTTGTGTTGAGGTCTTTTGTGGGCTGCTACAACAACAGCAAATTCCACTGTGACATCTTGTATAGCAATTTTTCTTGTATTTCTCAGAGAGAACTGATGTGTGATTGGGGGATGCAGTGAATTTGTGTTTTTATTTTACAAGATGCCAGTATGAATAATATCTTTCATTGTTAGTACTAGCTTTAGTTTGGTGTTTTGCACTTTCCAAATCTCAATTTCATGGAAATTTCATTTGTTTGTAAAGAGACAAGAAGACAGTTGTGCGACCAGGTTGTACTAAGCACTCCTGATACATGGTATTTTGGTTAATTTCAAAGGATTGATATTGGCACAGATCAGACAGTGGAATTATCAGATGCAGGATATCAGTTTCTTATTGACCTCTTTCACAGGCATGATAAGGTTTGTTATCAATTAAACAATGTGATTGTTATTTAAAAAATTAATTTGCTTATAGTTTATTATCCTTTGGTACTTAAGTCTGAAAGATTAAAATAATATTGAAATTATGTATTGATTGAATAGGATTTGTACGGGTCATTGAGTACCTGGATAGTCATGGAATTTAATTGTGCGTCAGAGAAAGACATGAAAATGGAATTTTGAAAGTATTTTTGCTGGATTAAGTACTACAGATGTCAAAGCATGGACAAAGTAAGATCGACACAAGTGAATTGACGTTTGTTGATCTGGGTTAGATAAAAAAATCACCAAAAACAAGAATAGTATTTGAAATTTGGAAAAATTTCATGGAAAAAGGCATGGAGATTCATGGGATTTGAAGAACTCAAAATTCAATTAGTAATTTGGTATTTTGTTCGTTTGTTGCCATAGTTATGTATTAATAATTTTATCATTCATCATTGCCTTTTCGATGAATAAGTATACAGCAAATGTATTATTTAAGCTGAATTTCAGTTGCCACTGTGAAAACATTTTCTTTCTTTTACTGATGAAAACAAAAGAAAAACATAAGCAACAGTGGAAACCTTTGATTCCTCTACTGCAGTTTCTAAATGTAGAAGAATTTTACCTCTGCTATAATGATTCATCATCCCAATTTAATAAGTTCCAGCCTATATACAACAAAACCCCAGAGTCAAAAGAGAAGTTATTTTTCCAAGTTTATAGTTATGTGTAACCTGCGTAGCAAGCGTTTACGTGCGGTTTCGGATCAAAGAACGGGGAATGAGAGTTAAAGACCGCGCAAAAAATGGGGTGAGTAAAAGAACACTCCTCCTCATTCCTAGTCTTTCTTTGCTCCAAAACCACATAGAAACACTTGCTACACAGGCTAAGTTTTGTGTATATAACAGGACACACATACCATGCACCTCATCACAATAATGGATTTTTTCCAATTCCCGGCCACTTTGTTATATCTGGTTTTCACTGTAATCTATCTCGTCCATCTTATAGGATGAGGATGAAGCACTGAAGCCAGAAGAACTTCAGGTAAGCAGTCAACTACAAAAAACAGGTCATTATTACAAAATTTGTAATAATGAGCTGTTTTTTTGTAATTTAATATTAGCATTGTTTTTATCGTAATACTTTAATATTGGGGAGCAAGGGAAATGCAGTGTTGAGAGCACCTGCCTCCCACCAATTGGACCCGAGTTCACATCCCGGCATCTGCGCCACATCTGGGTTGAGTTTGTTGCTGGTTCTCTCCTTTGCTCCTAGAGGTTTTTCTCCAGGTACTCTGGTTTTCCCCTCTCCGCAAAAACCAACGTTTTCGTATTCCAATTCGACCAGAAATCAAGTTGATGAAGAACCTGTAAGTGGATATGCTACCTTTAAATTTTTATTTATTTAAATTTATATTTGTGATTTAAAGGAGTTGTTCAGTATTTTTCCCACGAATCCCTGGGGTGAAGATGTTGTCAACTCTGTTGAAACTAATGCCAATGGCTGGATCACTCTCCAGGGATTTTTAGCTCAGTGGACGTAAGTAACCACTCAAGTAAGTGCGCATGCATATAAAAGCAACAGGAAAATCAAGACTGTTTCAAATTCTCCACTTGACTTAGAAACTCTAGGAAGGATGGTTACGAGCTTCGGGCTATTTCACACTTGTCTTTTACAGCATTCATCGTATAGTCATGCCAGATCAAGGGAACCCCTGACAGGTTGTAGTTAGGAAATCATTATTTGAAAAGTGAATTATTTGTCAATGTCAATATTTTTTCTTTCTTACAGTGTACGTAATGAGTAGTGAATGAACACAAGCAAGCTCGGTAGAATTTCTGCGAGCTTAGCTTTTTTCCGAACTCGAGATGAATGTTTTCATAGGAATTTTCTCAGTGAACCACAATTGAACCTCTATTAAGCGGCAACCCTCAGGGCACCGTCAAGTTGCCGCCTAATAGAGGTTGGCTACTCAAAAGAGGTTCGTCATAAATCAGCATAATCTTTATCAGAAACAACACTTCATTTTGAAACAAACGACAGAAGTAGCATTACTGGTCCACAATCGGTCGTCACTTTCTATCTCGGACTGTATTTTCCTTCATCATATTCTAAAAAAGGACCCAAACTAAGTGTATCAAACGCTTGATGGCCGCTTAATAGAGGTGACAACAATGGGAGAACACTCGTTGCCACGGCCAAAAGGTGGCTGCGGCCTCTTAATAGAGGTTTAATTTCCCATACTATAGGGTGTGTGTCGCCGCTTAATGGAGGTTCGACTGTGTTTTTTTTTAATATGACCGAATGCAGGGAAGGTGAAGTCTACAATTCACTACTTATTATGAATGCAAGAGAGCAGGCAGGTCTTCGGATCTTAAGGTCCTTATTAAATAGGACGAAGGACTTTTTCGAAAGTCTAAACGTCTAAAGACGAAAGTGAAGAAGATTAATGTGGCGAAAGATTTATACTCTATATAATTTAAGGTTTAACAATGTTGAAATGAAATGGTGTTATCTTGTAACAGGAGATGATTGCTTCTGATGAATGTACATCTTAACTTGTTTTTCCAATATTTTACTAGGCTAACAACGTTTTTAGACTACACGAGGATGTTGGCATATCTGGCCTCTTTTGGTTACACTCATCAGGAAAATGAACCTTCTCTGCAAACTGCAATAACAGGTATCGGTGATGATAAATAACAAACTATTTAAACTTTTCAAGTTTGTCGGAAGTAGCTGTGAAATGGTGTCAACGCCTTGTAAACCTTTGAAGACAAAGACAATTACTTATTGTATAGCTCAAGTCTTATTTAGAGGCAAAATGAATTCGTACTTTTTATTGTCAAGGAAAACTATTTATACTTTTCCATCTCCACGTATTATCAGGTTTAAAAACTCTTGGCTTCGCCTCAAGTTTTTAAACCTGATAATATACGATTGCTAGGTTTTTGAACAGCTTAAAATCTCTGATATAGACCAACTCATTCTTGCACTAATATTTAGAATTGGTTTTTTTTTTTTTTTTTTTTTTTTTTTGNCTTGCTATTGCACGCCTTTAATTTGATCCTAAAACGACTTGCTGTAAATGATCAGATAACTCCAGCTAGCTCTACCCCTCGTCAACGCACACGCACACGGTATTGGCTCTGACTTAGGGCTTAGTTTAGTCTACCTGTGCTTGGACGTTGCGATTTCTAAAGTTTGGCCTTGCTGTGCTCATTTGTAAACCCCCTTAATATGCAACAGATAACCGACAATTCGATAGTACTTACTTATAACAAAGCGTTGTTTGCAGTCAACTAACAACAGTGATGATTGTTAAACATGTTGTTGTGAGCCAACTAACTTGTGTGATTTCTCTTTTCTTTTTCTTTGCTTCTTTTCCAGTCTGTTCTCCTCTGCCTTTCACCTTGGTTTCATCTGTGTCTCGTCTCATTCAGATGAGAAAAAAGCTTCGATTCTTACCTTATAATAATCCTCACTGGGACCAAGTAAACACTAAACTGGGTACTTTGCCCTTATGCATTCCTTTTATTCGCACTAAAGTAACTTAACAAAATTTAAGGACATTGTTCAACACTGAAAAAAAAAACCTGTTAAACTAGTTCGAAGAAATGATAAGCCTTCGGCCCTCTAGAGAGAAATAACCAAAAGTTTAACATATAAAACTACTTTGAAAAGCACTAATGATAAAAATTCAATTGTACTGAACAAAGTTGGATTTCCACAGTGGACAAAGTGTTTCCTTTTTTCTTTTAGTTCTTGTTTGTTCTTGTTTTTGTTGTTGTTGTTTTTTCTAATTTTCTTCATGTCTGTTTGATTGCTATTGTTCGTTTACGTTTTTTTTTTCTGTTTTTTGTTTTTTATTGTTTTATTTTTTTTAACACAATCTTTAATTTACATGCGTCCGTGAGCTCGATTTCCGTCGTCACCCGAGTCCGGACTCCAGCTTTGATCCTGGCTCCCGAACAACGGCTGGTTATCGAGCCTAATGCGTCTATTCATTCACTTTGTTATCTCCTGTTTGCTTTTTTCATTCATTTTAAACGTGTCTCTTTATTCTTCATCTTTACTTGCTGTTTCTCTCTTTGTTTGCCCCTTTTCTTTTTATTCCATTTAATTTGTTTCAAACGTCTCGTCTTCAGTGGAATCCTGGTTCTTCGAACCTCCTGATGATTTCGAGCCCAAGCCGATTCCTTCCCAGACTATTTTTTGGTGTTTTCCACTTGATTTTGCGTACATTTCTTTTTCGTTGTGTTTTCCTGAAATTCATAACAAATTGCCCGACTTTTCTTTCTCTCTTTTTTTAAAAAGTTCTTTTTTAACAACAATTGACGGAACACACCCTCGGCTAGAAAGTTTATTATCTTGGTAAACCACATCTTAATAAATGTTTAGTCTGCAAAGGGAATCTTTAGAAAGCGATCAAAAACATCTAGGAAATACTTTGCCTGGTCCCTGTACGGCGTTTTCCCAGGCCTTTTCGGTCAATTCACTTCGGTGACGTATCCGAGGCGAACGGGCGTGTAACGCCCTCACATCTTCGCTTGGACCACGTGAACCGAAACGAATTGGCCGCCCGGAATAATGAGGTCTAGGGACTAGGTAAGGAAATACTCTTTGTGAATAAACATGTTAAGAAATACTGTAATACAATGAAGAAAAAATCGTTCGACTCAAGTGCCTGCTTTCTTTGCCTCCAGTTATGCGCAGTAAAGCTTTTGATTTGCAGAAGAAACAGACGTCACGTTCAGTGTTTCAGTGTTATGTTTTTGGAGCGCCTGAAGTTGGAAAGGTACTTACAATCTCTCCTTAGTTCAAAATATGTTGTCTGAAGAAGCCTGACAGGCTGCGTAGTCAACTGAATCAAAACTGAAAAGTCTTTCCAAATCGCATCAATAGATAAATCCCACAAAAGCACAAAATACAAAAGACAGCTTATTTTTCAAATTCTCACCAACATTTATACAACGGTCTGTCAAGCCATGAATGGTGTCAAAGTTAACTGAATGCGAGGTACCTTGCGTGAACCAACCAAAATACTTTTGACAACACTTCCGAATAACCCTGAAGAAAAGAAATAAACACTATTCTCACTGCATAACTGATTAGCTCATAGTAGCAATTTTGTTTAATCTGTGTGCACTCCCTCGAAATCACGCATGCTTGTAGCGCTTGTAATGCTTTGCGCCCCTCGACTAAGAATTTGGCCGTGCTGCCTAAAACGTGGTCATTTTTAATGATCGGTACTCCGGGACCATGGTCAGTTTTTGCGACCCGCACACCTCCCCTGGTGGCGGTTGACAACTTCAGTGTTTATCCTTGTTGCATGCCTATTGCCTCAGCAGTCGCGGACTTTTCCTGTAACTTTATATTGCGCAGTGAGGTAATGAGTATGCAGTGAGGATATGCCTCTAGAGAAAAAGCTGTCGGTAGAAAGTTAAGAGGAACCAGACGTAAGCTCTGGACTGAAATATTACCTTAGTAAAAGGCGGACGTACCTTTAATTAATCTATCTACAGATCAGTGTTTTTACTTTCAGATTTTTTTCGTTCTCTCTTCATCTGGTTCTCTTGTTTATAAATTTAATTTACCAAAAAAATGCTCTTTCTTCCCAACAGACTGCCTTTCTTCAAGCCTTCTTAGGACGAACTCTGGAGGTAAGTAGAATATAATGGTGATAGGCTTTTGTACGTTATGCGTTTGTTCCCCCCACTAAACTGCCTAACCGTAATAGTTCATTTTTCTCACTAAAATGCCCGGTCACCCCCAAAATGTCGTTAAAATGCTTGGATGATGCTCATCACTGAGAGGCCATTTTGTTAATTCTAAACATTTTAAGAGAGGTTAAATTGATATCTTTTTCTGAATTTCAAGGTTAAGTCTCCATTTTCTCGTAAAAAATTTTTTTGATTCTTATTTTCTCCAAGAAAAAAAATATTTTTCCGGGAAAATGCCACTAAAATGCTTGAATATCAATGCTTAATGCTTTATGAGCTGTTTAAATGGAGGGAGGAAAATCCTAGAAGGCGAATCATCCTAAAGCCATCAGTTTTTGTGTTCAGTTTACATGAAAAGGGTTCCACTTTTCCCTAGCGCTAGGATCTTCCTAGTACTTGGATCTCCCAACCTTTCAGGTGGGAAGATCCTAGTACTAGGATGATCCTAACACCGCGTAAACGTCTTTCGCTAGGGAGATCCTAGTTCTAGGGACAAGCCAGACAAGATGGCGGCGGGTCGTTTAGTGGGTAATCACGGTAATTAAGGCCGACCATTTCGTTTGGATTTACCATGAGATAAAAATTGTAATAATTCTGCTGACAGGTAGTTATTAACGCCAGTAAAGAGAGCAGAAGGGTCTAAATTGCATTTTGTTTGTGTCGCCCCGCCATCTTTGTTAACCACACGGACCCAACGGAAAGTTGCTCCGCCTTCTAGGATTTTCCTGGTGCTCGGATCTTCCTCCCTCCATGTAAAAAGCCCCTCAAATGTTCAAAGAAATGCTAGCATAATGCTCAGAAGCTCAAATAGAGAAATAGCACGTGTGGCTGTGGAAGACAATCACGTTTTCGCGTTCACTGTGTCTTACTTTTTGCTTTACTTTCGTGGTTCCTGTTTATACAGCCTGGTGAATCAGACAAGAATTTGTCAAGTTATGCCATTAATCTGTTGGAAGTAAACAGACAAGAAAAATACTTAGTGGTATGTACAAAAGAAGAATATCTGGCTTTTTCGAGCACGTTAATTGTTATATTAGAATTGATAGCCACGTTTTCGCGTTTTTTTTTTTCACCATACATTTTAAAATACTCTGGGCTGACACAAACGAAGTACGTTAGATGATCCTATAGACGCCCACCATCAAATACACGTCTCTATTAACGCCCCTCCTATCTACGATGTTAAGTTTGTATTAAACGCCCTCTCTCATAAACGCCCCCTGTCTAATGGACGCTCCAAAATGCTAAGAAATCATTCAAGTTGTTCTGTCTCCTGCTTCATTAACATGGGTTTGTGCATTGAATCTTGTTCAATGTCAAATTCATAGTAAAGGTGGGCTAGCAATGACAATTTGAAAGGCAGCCGGAGCGTTCATACTTGGTGTACGCGCACGTCGCCCTAGTACGGTACTCGCTGGGCACTAATGTGAACACACCCTTGTGCCAAGTACCCACGCTAGAATTCAGCCACGGTCCCGGTGCCCGAGTACAAGGTCTACAAGGTCTCGACCTTGTACTCGGGCACATAACTGGGCACTGGGTCTCTGTGTGCACACAATTTTTGTTAGTGCCGGGAAGTCCACAGCTTTGTTCTCGCTGCTAAGCTCATGTTTCAAAATGGCGTCTGACAGGGCGAAATGGAGTAACTATGTACACAGTCATATAGCCACGTTTTCGCGTTTTTTTTTCCACCATACATTTTAAAATACTCTGGGCTGACACAAACGAAGTACGTTAGATGATCCTATAGACGCCCACCATCAAATACACGTCTCTATTAACGCCCCTCCTATCTACGATGTTAAGTTTGTATTAAACGCCCTCTCTCATAAACGCCCCCTGTCTAATGAACGCTCCAAAATGCTAAGAAATCATTCAAGTTGTTCTGTCTCCTGCTTCATTAACATGGGTTTGTGCATTGAATCTTGTTCAATGTCAAATTCATAGTAAAGGTGGGCTAGCAATGACAATTTGAAAGGCAGCCGGAGCGTTCATACTTGGTGTACGCGCACGTCGCCCTAGTACGGTACTCGCTGGGCACTAATGTGAACACACCCTTGTGCCAAGTACCCACGCTAGAATTCAGCCACGGTCCCGGTGCCCGAGTACAAGGTCTACAAGGTCTCGACCTTGTACTCGGGCACATAACTGGGCACTGGGTCTCTGTGTGCACACAATTTTTGTTAGTGCCGGGAAGTCCACAGCTTTGTTCTCGCTGCTAAGCTCATGTTTCAAAATGGCGTCTGACAGGGCGAAATGGAGTAACTATGTACACAGTCATATATCGGGCACTCAAAGGGTGAACACAACACCGTTTTGTGCCAGCACCCAAGCACTGGTACCCAATCACCAAGTGTGGATAGCCCCTTAGTGATCTTGACCGAGGATACTCTTCTCTGAGTATGGATCCTTAGACGGCTAAGACGTATCAGTGGATGGACTGGATATTCTGGTTTTAATTAACTCTCTCATTTTAATTAACTCTTTTAATTAACTCTCTGTCACAGTCAGTGGTGCTGGAGTTTGTGCGTGTGTGTGTTTTGTTCTGCTTTTTTATAGCTAGATAACAAGCCTTGTCAGAGCCAAAGCGATTATAAGTTTACTGTCGTATAGAGACGATTTCCTTTTTATTAATAGGGAGCTTTGGCAACGACGACGGCGACGGCAACGAGGACGTCAAATAAGCAATAAGTTTAGATGGGCAAACAACTTTGCACGTACATCACGCTTTTTTGTACATTTCTTTGTCGTCCCTGAACGGCTATGACGGCGTGAAAATACCTAATTTCAGATTTTATGGAGGACGTAAACAAGCGACGGCGAATTTTTCTTGCTCTTTCTAAACTTAAGTGTGGCCCACAAGAAATCAACTCCAGGGAAATTTGCCTACATTTGAGATTTTCAGGGAATTGGAGTAAACGCGAAAAAGTTGAAAAAACACGGAATCATTTTAAAAGTGATGTTTTCTCTGCCGTCGCCGTAGTCCATGATTAAGCTCCTACTAACTTATTTATTCGTTACACCTTTTACTTGCTTCAAGTCTCTAAGGAACACGCGCAAACATGATTTTGCTCATTTATGTTGGTTTGTTTTAGCTACGTGAAATCGAATGGGAAAAATCCGGCCTCCTGTTGCATGACCGACGTTGTGATGTGGCGTGTTTTATGTATGACTCTACGGATTCTGCTTCATTTAACCAAGTTGTACAACTTAGAGAGGTGTGTATCACTATCCAGACTGTGATCCAGCCATCCCGATCTCGTCGGGACTCTACCGATGTTGCTTAAAAATCCCGAGTCCCGCCCAATACGCGATCGGGATATGAAAAATTCCGATTTAGACATCTGTTACGATATTTTCAAAGAGTCATTAAGACAGAAGTAGAGCCCAGTTTACATCATTCTGGGGAAACGAAAAGGTTTTAAAAGGTATTTAAAAGCGACAATAATTTTTTGATGTGAGGTATATATGAAATAATTCATTTTTGAACTGCGGTTGTAGATGAAAGTGAAGAATGATCATCGCAGTAAATTTTCCAATTTAAGCAATTGGAAAGAAGAAGCCTGAAAAAACTCAGGGCTTCAACGGGATTCGAACCCGTGACTTCTGCGTTACCGGTGCGTTTCTCTACCAACTGAGCTATGAAGCCACACATTGGGAGCGATAATAATTTTTTTATTACTCGTTATTCTCATAGCATAGTCTCCGCTTGGTGAAAGGCGAGCTGTTATTTCTGCGTTATGTTTTTGTTCCTAGAAACTACCCAAGACTGTTCCTTGCCTGTTAATAGCAGGAAAGAGCGAAGGAATAAGAGCTCAACAGGTAGGGTATCTTCCGATACATATACACAACAATACTGCCCCGTTTGCTTTGAAGAAGTTAAGAATTGCTTTTGATTGTTGAATGTTTGTGTTGTTAGGATTTTGAAATGCAGCCAGACTTGTACTGTACCTTAAACAAGCTTCCACCACCTCAGGTATGTGTGCGGGGTGTGTGAATAAGGTCATGTTCACACCGACACCAAAAGCTATCCGGTACAGTATGAACACCCATCCGATATGTTACACACCATTTTAGAGATCGGCGCGTCGCAGCTTCGCCCCGTCACAGAAATCGCGCCGAAATCACCGTTCTTATGTGTGAATAGAAGCCCCATCCAGTATAGTCTGCTACACAGCCGTTTTTAGTGTCGTCACGCAACGCGAGCGTTGCGTGACGATACTAAAAACGGCTGTGTAGCAGACTACATCCAGTATGGTTTTCCTGCCGGTGCAAAAGCTATTCAGTGTTCCAACGAAGTTTACATTGTTTTTTACCTGTCATGGATAATTAACTAAACACTTTGTAAATGATTTAAGTTGTGAAAAATTGTAGTAATTATTAAATAAACATTCTGTTGAATTATTCTTTTTAACCGTGGACAAAGTATGCCTGGTTACCAGGCTTGGTTCTTACCCAAAACTTTGGCGGGCATTTTAATGCACAACTAAAGCCATTGAAGTAGAACTTTTTGGATTGAGGATCTATGGATTGACTTTTTCATTACCTTGCGTGGCTTGTTACTCATTATGACTTAGACTAGATGCCGTTCCTCACTGCTTTCCATCTAATACATACAAACTGATATAATCGTCGACAAGTATTATAAAAACAAAACACATCTGATGTTATTATGTTTCAGCCATTCTCGTCGCTTGGTAGACCTGTCGTTTACAAACCTATCTACAGCAACCTGGCACAAATGGCTGTCTATCCGTAAGTACACAAATCGTCTCTCTGATGTAAAATAAAATTCATTACAGCTTGAGTATCTGTTTCGAAGTTTTTAAGATAGTAGCGCTCGGAGGTGTGAAAGCTTTGTTGTTGCCTTCATAACCAAAAGTGATCAAACAAAGTTCCTAGTTTCCTCTTGTAAGACTAAAACTGCTTGCGAAGAGGTTTCGCTGAATTGCCTCCCTGTAATGTTTTGTCCAGCTTATGTGGCGGAAAATGACTACAATGAGAGTAAACTTTTAGCGTAGTCGCAATTCACAGTTATATTATTTTCTTCCCCTGTAGACACCTTTGTGGTCCCGATGCAGATAGTGCGACTTCATATTGGGTTATTGCCGGATTAGCAGCTGCACTTGTAGCAACGGCTGGTATTGTGGTGTTTAGATACTTACGAAAAGGGGGATCGACCACGTGACACTCGATCCCGATCTTATGGCGAGTGAGAAAAGAATGACTCTTGATAACAAGAACTGAAACGGGTTGCATTTCGCGGATGCAAAATGGGTGGAGTCTGGCAGAATTGAGAGAATACCATATATTAGCCGTTTGAGTTCTTTTAATTGGAGTACATGTAGTACAGGGAGTTATTACCGATGAACAATGTCTCAATTATTGTATCGTTCCAACGTCAATTTATTTTTTCCCCAGAATTGTACAGTTATTGCTTTTAATTTAAACGTAAAGCTCAAGATAAAGTATCATCATTGTATTAAAATTTTGCATTAGCATTGTTTTCGATTTCTCTTTTGGCGATCGTAAGTCCTAAAAGAAATTGAAAACAATGTTTATGCGAAATTTTGGAGGGACAGCAAAGAGTATTACGGTATTTAAAAAAAAAACGCAGAGAACACTGCTTCTTTAACTAAGCGAACTCGATTTAATTACTTTTTAAACCAAACCAATCGTAAGCCAATCTTAACTGTTGAACCTTTAAATTTTCCCCTCCTTGTTTATAATACCATAGCCTGTTCACAGACCCTCCGTTTCCTCTTTAGAGATCGTCGAGCGGGTGCGCGTTTGAAAAGAAAAACCGCGGGCACTTATTGACCGTTAACGCAAGGGGATGTTTTGCCATTGCTCCGCGCTCGCTCTCACGCGCACGCTTCTCTCGCACGCTCGCTAAATTCATCGAAAAAAAGAAAAAAAATTGTGGACAGGCTATCAATACTGCTATCACGGAAGAACCTCTCCTTAGGAACAGTTCTCCGAAATATTCTTAAAGATACCAAACATCACCCAATCTCTATCTGTTGAAGTTGGATAACTGGCTCTATCGCTTTTCTGTCGATGTTAACGAGGATGGACTCTCCCTAGTGTAATATTCATCGTTTGATAATTATTTTCTGCTGACGTTTTGAGCTTGTAGCCATAGGTAACACTGTAACATTCCCAGTTGCAATTAGTTAGGTAATATAGCAAAAAAGGGTCGCATGTATTTGTATTTATTTGACAGTGACAGCTTCCTTGCCCCTTCACAATACAGTGAAACTAAAGAAAGTGTATGAAGTGCCCTCGTACAATCAGTAAAAACATTCTTAAAAGGTGTGTTGTTGTGTGTTTATACTGCCAGTTCTTGATTGCAATGTGCTCTTTCTCTCTTGATCTCATAAAGCTCCGGTAAACATTTTCCCCAGCCCCACGAATCAAACCTGTCTTGCAACAAATCAGGTTGTTACATGTTGCGTTAATACTAACATCAGATTGGATAACATTACGCGGGAGTCACGCCATAAACAGGAATTACGTCACTTGCTGGAAAACAAAGCAGAACTACCCACTACTTTCTGCAACAACTTTTCTCGCAACCTGCAACAAGCTTATTTGCTGCAAGACAGATTTGATTCCCGGGTTGTGCAACGCGCAAAATCGCTATTCGCTAGCAATGTTTCAAAAACAAGTTGCACGTTTTTGTTGCATCGCGCAAAGATTACAAGGAAAAGAATTTGTTGTGTCTTCGTAGCTTGAGGAATTGTAGTACGGCAATGCTTTTTGGCGGCTAGGAACTCTCCAAAGTGGTCGCAGTTTCATATAAGGAGGAGTTTGCTTGTATTAAAAAAAGAAAACACCACGCAAAGATACTACTGGAAGGCAAAGAAGAAGTAATCCATTTAAATTCTAAGATTGCGTCTTGCTTTCATGGTGAAGTTCACGCCGTGCCAGTTGTCGGTTGATAGAAGAATCAGAGAGGGCCCGGGACACAAGCGACAATTCGCTTCGTGTGCTTTGTGGATTTTTTTTTGTGAATCTTTGTTCCCACAAGTTGCACAAATTCAAACCAGACAATTTGGGCGACTTGTTGCGGGAACAAAGGATTTTTTCACAAATTCTGCAGTGAGTACGAAACGAACGTTCGCTGCGACCTGTTCCTCAGCTCTTTTGACTATGTATTGATCTGTATTGATATTGTTAAAGTACTCTTGGGAATTAAGGGATTGTAATGTTTAATTAAGAAGAAAGAGAAAATGGCCACAGAAATTTTGGAGTTTTTATTTTTCAAGTTAACGGTGAAACTTCAAGTGGCTGAAAGACTTAACTTTCATTATTGCCGAGCGTGGGTATGCGTGCGAAGTCTTACGCTTGGATCACAAAACGAACAAATTTCTGTCATCTACTTCGTGACAACCCCTCCCCCTACCCTGGGTGCCAGAGACTTTTCATGCGCGTTTTCCGGTTTCGGTTCGCCGCTCGTGGCTTCGGGTTTAATTAGGTAGTCACTTGAAGGGATAGACGAGAGGGCCCTTCCTCGATCCTAAGACTGGGACCGAGTTATACGATCGCCGAAGATTTTTCCGAATGGATCTTCGTACGTGAGGGGTACGTGAACAATGAAATCATGAGCTCTTTTGATATACAGTATGTGTGCAGAGGCTACAATTATCTCTTCCCTCGAGTTGAATTAAGGAAAGTTTTAAAACGTTCCTTGGTTGTTTGCAGTTCTACTGAATTCGTAGAAAATTCGATTCATAGTAACTGCTGATCAAGCTTTGCAATTAATTGACAATGGGCCCTGTGATCTATGTTCACGTCACATAGATGAAAGGTACCTCCAGTTTCAACGTTTTTTCTTTTGCTTAAAAATATGATAACAATAATAAAAAAGACATGAAGCTGTTGTTGCAGGATAAGAGATTGTTAAGAGAATTCCTATTCAGAGGTCACAAGGCCCATACAATGGATTATTACTTAATTATTATTATTTTTAAGCTTATATCTTATTTATTTTTGCCAGTGTTGGCCGGGACCCCTCTTCTTTGACAACATTATCTGTTATTCCAATCTTATGCCATTTCACTATACTAAGTGACTACCAAGAGAATGTGCAAATTCTGTATTGCAATGTACAATCCCAGTTTGAAATGGACTATTGCATAATTGATATCAGCACTCCCCTTTGGTTAAGGAAGTGAGCAAAGATATATGGAATTCTCTAGGGGGTATGTTGTAATAGTTTTGGAAATCCTTGAGGAATAGTCTTAAACATTGGAGTTATTCAGGGTAAACAAAGAATTCATGGAATTTTATTAGGAAAAAAAGTACTGTTCAATAAGTTCCTCAGGGGAAAATTCATATCTTAAGAAAGTCTCCCGGGGGAATGCAGTCTAATAGAATTCCTCAGGAGTAAGAAGGAAGTTTATTATATGTTGTCAACCGGGAAGAGGGTGTGGCTATTAAATGTGATAGCCCA